TTTTACAGACCAAAAACTTTGGACACACCTTCTCATTCAAAGAGTTTTCTTTGAATATTGGCGATTCACACTGAAGGCATCAAACCTATGAACTAACACATGTGGAATTATATATTTAATGAAAAAGTGTGAAAAAAACCTGAAAATATCTGTTATATTCTAGGCTCTTTAAAGTTGCCTCCTCTTGAGAGGTAGTCAGAGGTAGAGGTAGTCACCTGAATGAGAAGGTGTGTCTGTATTGTACACACACACACCACACACACACACACACACACACTGTATATATATATATATATATATATATATATATATATATATATGTGTGTATACATATACCTAATAGTCTATACCTTTTAAAAGATATTGAGCAGGATTTACATAAGTTAAACACGTTATTTTCAAGGTGAGAAACGGCAGCTGACTCCTGTGCTAAACAGAAGCACCCATGAATCATATAGGACACTATCACTGTCAACAAATTTACCTTTTCTCCATCATCTCTTTACCTTTTCTGTTGAAAAGTTTGAATCAACTCTCATCAGCTGTTTGTTTTCTTCTTTCACCTCATGACATGTTAAAGTGCTGATTGAAATGCAGGACGAAGACTTTGGACTGAAGAGTTCTCCAGGTTAGACAAGTCCCCATGACATGTCTTTAGTTTTACCTCTGATTTAATCTTCTACAGTGTACACTGTTTTGGCAACCAGGTTAATCAAGATAAGACAGAAAAGGCTATTTAACCCTGAAGCAGAATCTTTTCAGTGGATTCTACATGCCTCCATGTTTTCAACTGATTTGTCTACCATTGTCATCCAGCTATAGAATCCATAACAAATCTTTTTTTCCCCATATGTCTCTCTTCTTCTCTTTGCAGCAATTGAAGGTTTAATAAGTAAGATATTGGGAATATTTTTTATGTGTTGGCTTCTAAAGGGAAATTGTACAAAAAAAAAATGTTGGCCATACATGGTCTGAGAAAACTGCATGCTAAAATCTGTGGACTTGACATGAACCCCAATATAATTTTTTATTATGTTTATTTTCTCCTTGTTTTGACTGGAGGCTGTAAAGCATGAGTATAGCTTTGAGCATGGGACGATTTAAATACCTCTACTCGGTAGATTTATGACAAAACACCCAATTAGGAATGAAGCTTGTTCTTTCCTCAGTAAATGGAGGCTAAGCTAAAAAAGGGTTCAAGTCAAGCATTAAGATAAAAAAAAAAAAATTACCCAGATATGTTACAGCCTAAAGTCCTGCTTTATTTTGCATGAAAAGACCTCACTTTCACCATAAGAATTGCAACTTATTTTGCAAATAGGTCTTGACACCTTTATGACACTTTTAGCATGTTACGCTTAGCCTTCATGGCTAATCCAAACATGCCAAATCTAATGTTGACAATGCTTAACCAACAATTGGTGGTGGGAAGAAACTACTTGTCATTAAAGGTCTCAGTAGCTTCTTTATCACATCAACACTATCCTTCAATTCTGCTCTACTCTGATCCTTTATTCTGTTGTATCCCCAAAGCTCGCTCATTCCCTTTATACAGTACTAGGCAAACTGCTTTAAGTCAATATGTAACCTCCAACGATAAAAGCAAGAGCCACACTTTGCTTCTGTCTTTTATTGACCACAAGTTAAAATATTCCCTGTGAGCCTGTTTTTCTTTGCTTTCCAGAGGCAAGCCTCCCTGGAGAGGAAATTGGTGATGATAAGAGCTGCCACTGTGAGTTTTTCACCCAGGAACTACCTCCAGGATTGAAGGTTACAATTAGGGCTGTTTGGTAAGGATACACATTTTGCCCAAGATTTCCCTATTTTTATGTGTTGTTTGCCAATATAGCACTGAAAAATTGATATCCCGGAGCTGAATTATAGCCCAACAGATTTGGTTGCAAATAGACCATCATGTCAGTTGAAACTTAATTATAAGTGACTCTGGGAAAACTCTTATGAAATGGATTTGGAGACAAAAAGGTAGGTGAGAAAGGGAGGTATAAGAGTAAGAGAGAGCAAAGAGAACAAAGAAAAATACAGTAATTCTCAGAAGTCTGCTTCTACTTTCAACAAAACAAAACAAACAACACACAAACTACAGCAAAAGAAGTATCTCATGGACATTTAGTTAAGTATACAAACATAAAATTGAAAACCTATGACATTTAGAAATATGTATAATGAGGCTGCAACTTAGTATTAAACTTAACTGTGCATCCGTTAAACTTACATCCTTTATGTATACATGTGTGTGTTTGAGTATATAAGGTTTATAAGGCTTCTTCAGCAGGAAGATATGCTCAATAGCAGGAGTGAGAGACCCCAGACCCACCCCAAATAGCCCACGGCTCACACAGAGGGAACCACACAGAGTTTCCTTATCTTTTTTTCGTAATTACAAAAAAAGCCAATATTTTCCAGCTAAAGATTCTGACACCATCCTGAGGTCCTTCCAGTTCACATCCGCAAGATTTTCAGATCTTTGTAAATGCAAGTGTGCATCATGTGGTCCTTCGGGTGACCTACTGCCCAGGGGCACCATGTTGGTGACCCGTGCTTTTAATGGATCTAGCACAGAGTCCCTAGTTTGGCTAGTAATCCTCTAAAAATGAATTTGCTGTCTTACAGATCTCTTCTGCTTTTTTCATTCTTAAATGTTTCAGATAATCAAAAAAATGTTAAATTCAAACAAAAAGAACCACAAGAAATATGGACAGAATTTAAAGGATTATTTTTTTAATTGGGAGAACACAAGCTAAGCAAACCAGCCTTAAATATTAGAATAGAATAGAATAGAAAATCTATTTATTGTCCCACGATGGGGAATTGTGGTGTTCAATTACTTCATACAATTGCACCCTTGTTTTTTTAAGTCTCTGTGACCTTTATTGACAGTTATTAGAAGGGAAATAGGCAGAAATTTAAGCAAAAGTCTTGATGTTAGAAATTAGAACAGAGACAGCTCTATCAGGGACTATTATACCGTAGGTCTAATCAAGTCATCAGCAGCACAGCAGATGGTACTCTCACCATTTCTTTTTATTCTGTATACATCTTACTTCCATTACAAGACAGAGTTCTGTCATCTGCAGGTGTCAGAACGTCTGTCATGCTAAGATGACTCTACAGTTGTTGGGTTCATCGGAGATAGGCAGTAAGCTAAATATAGAGATCTTCTGAATCACTTTGTTGCATGGTGTGGAAACAAATCATTTGATCATGAATGTGAGTAAAACAAATGAGATGTTTGTAGATTTTGGATCAAACTGGAGTAAGACAAATGCTATCTAGATCATTAGAAAAGAAAACCGTATTTCTTAAGAAAGATTAGGTCCTTCAGTGTTTACACCAAGACACTGCAGGTCTTCTATAAGTCTGTTGTGAAGACTGTGATCTCTCTGCAATCATCTGCTATGGTAACAACATCTAAGCAAATAACTTTAGGAAGCTCAACAAGCTGAGAAAGCTGGCAGTTTCTGTTTTAGAAACTTCTGTTTTAGAAACCTCTGGAGATAATTATACAAAAAAAATAAAAAAATCTTTATAACATAATCACCTTATAGACAACAATGACCATCCATTCATTCATTGTACTGTTAAACAACAGCAGACTGTCTTCAGATGGAGGCTTCTCTGGATTAGGTTTAAGACAGATCACTACACAGATCCTTCCTGCCTACACTAGTACTAGTATCCCGAATAACTCATTAACAAAAAAATCCCTATGAGTAATAACAACATTTAGTTTCCCTTTGGGGATAGAGTATTTTTGAGTTAAACTGAATTTAACCCAATTCAGTCAGATTTCATATCCATCAGACACATGTTCTACTAGTGCACCTTGCACTGTCCCGACAGCAACTTTTCTAAATCATGAACTTGTTATGGTTCCATCCATCCATCTCCTCCTGCTTAGTCCTTGTCAGGGTTGCAGTGGGCTTGGTGCCTATCTCCATCTAGTCTATAGGCAAGAGGCGGGATACACCCTGGATAGATCTCCAGTCTGTTGCAGGGCACACAACCATGCACACCCATGCACACTCACACCTAAGTACAATGTAGAGAAGAAAATTAACCTTATAGTCATGTTTTTAGATGTGGGAGGAAGCCGGGGTACCAGGAGAGAACGCATGCATGCACCGGGAGAACTTGCAACTTCCATGCAGAAAGAAATGAACATCGAAGCTTCTTGCTACAAGGCAGCCCCTTAATTATGATTCAAACATTTTTTTTTTCAATTTCACTCGCTACACCCTAATATGATTGGTGTCAGGCCTGTAGAATCAAGACAACATTCAAATAAAACCTGTGAGACAGCATGAAGTGGGTTAAAAGATCACATAAGGCAACACATAACCTTACCTGATCTAGAGAAATTTAAGAAGAGTTAAAAAAAAACAAATTTTAACAAAGTGTTTTCTACGACTTTTGGACTCCAAACACACAGTGGAAGCCATTATCCACAAATGGAGCAAACATGAAACAATGCTAAACTGTTCCAGAAATTGCACAACAATGACTAATCCAGCAGGTGACAAAAGAAACCAGAACAATACGTGAAGCACTGTGGGCATATTGACAAATTCTTGATGGCAATTTTTGCCAAAAGTTTGGAACAACCGATTATTATTATAGAATTATTATTTTATGTTTTAAAAATATAATAATAATTAATATTATATGTTTAGGAATAACTACAGTTTCACCCATTTTGATATGTGGTAAACATGCATTCTTGCAGTCTTAGCGCTAATGACAGTGTTTATCTGAGGAATTAAATGGATGTAATTTATCAAAGAATTCAATTCAGTTCAATTCCCTTTAATTATATAATGTTAATTCACAACACCTCATCCAAATGCACTTTAGAGAAACTATTAAATTAGATAATCTAGACTGAATGGTTAACAGTTTTCTATCTAAGGAAACAGGGCTGATTTCAACAAGTTGTTGACTTTGCAGGATTTGCTCCTCCTAGATCAGCATGTGGATAGATTAGATATATGACTGCATTGTGTTGTTCACATACAGCATTCCCTCACACCAAGCATGCATGCAACAATGGTGGAGAGGAAAACTACTTTTAACATGAAGAAACTTACAGCAGAACGAAGCTCAGTTTGAGCTACCAAGGTCAAATGGGAGTTCGAGGAGACAGAACCAAACATACAGATGGAACACAGAAGCACTGAATCATGAATACTCGTTATTTTAGAAAAGGTTGCGGTAAACTAGTTCCATGGTCCAACAGTCAAGCAGATCAGCTATAAGTTGGTATTCATGTCAAAAGGGATGAGGCATACCGTATGTCAAAGTAAGAGCTGAGCCTATAGCTAATAGGCAAATAGGACTAAACACTAAAAAACTGACCCAACTCTCATCTATAATTGGAAGCGTTCATGGAGCAGCCAAACGGATATTTTCTTCCAGGATGGTTTCACAACCAAACAGGATGAAGCCAGATGAAGCTGCTATGATGAGACAAAACAGAGAAAGCATAGATTTAGAGATTAAACTAAGAAATATTGCTTAATTGGAGAATAGAGATAGAATGAAGCTGAATGATCAAATGTGGCCCCTATGTCCTCTGGCAGCTTAAGCCTAAAGCAGCATAACTATAGAGATAGCTCAGGACACCCCGAGTCACTCTAATTATAAGCTCTATCAAAAAGGAACGTTTTAAACCTTGCCTTAAAAGTAGACAGGGTGTCTGGCTTATGGACTAAAACTGGTAATTGGTTCCACGGGGAAAGAGCCTGATAACTAAAAGATCTGCCTCACATTCTACTTTTAGAAATTCTAGGAATCTCTTGTAAACGTGCAGATTGACAGTGAAGTGCTTAGTCAGGAACATAAATAACAATCAGATCTCTGATATAGGATGAAGCCTGGTTATTTAGGGATTTATATGAGAGAAGCTGGATTTTAAATTATATTCTGGATTTAACAAGAAACCAATGAATGGAATCAAAAGAAGGAGAAATGTATCTTTTCAGTTTTCATGAGATCTCTGGCTGCAGCATTCTGGATCAACTGGAGGCTTATCCAAACTACACTTTGTGGTTTCCCTGACAATAAAAAAATACTATAGTGCAGTTTCTCAGCATCACCCCTGGACCACAGGGAGTATCATCCTTTGATGACTACTATGATAGGTCTACTATAGCTTTAGAGCAAATTAAAATTATATCAGTTTTACACAACAAGCTAACAAAGAGGTAAATTGTTCTATTCCTAAAAGGAAAAATAAAATGCAGGGTCCAGATATTTTGCAAGCTGTGTCAATCTGTTAGTTCTCACTGAGGGTTTTTAGTGTAGCAGTGTTATGGCAAAGATGCTCTGCTGATTCCAAATGACTGCTGTGAGTGTCTGATAAATAAACAGTGTCACATGGTATGTGAAAACAAGCTGTCATCCTCCACAGTGTCATGAAGTTTCTGGTGTCCAAGAGGAGATTCAAAGAGAGTCTGAGGCCTTATGATGTCATGGACGTGATCGAACAGTACTCTGCAGGTCACCTGGATATGTTGTGTCGCATTAAGAATCTACAATCCAGGCAAGTGAAGCTAACAATTTTAGCCAGCTTATATGTTTAGTATTATGATTGAGTTGAATCATGGAGTATGCAGTGGATACACACATGTTGTGACACACACACCATTGATCTGCCTCTGTCATTTGTCCAGCTACATGTGCTGTATTCAGATATGTATTATACTTTGTAGCTTCTATCCACTATCACAGTACAATATTCACTCCCTCACAAGATGTATTCAGTATAACATTGTCGTGTTTCTTTGTATCAGTTCTATCAGCCTTCTCGAAGCCTCGAAGGTCTAACATGCACAAGAAAATATATTCCCTCGGTGAAGTGCACTTTTTCATCCATGCAGTCATGAGTCAGACTCCCCATGTGTCCCTGTGTGTGTCTGTGGAATATATTGAAACTCCATAGCTGATGTGATTCACACTTTGCTTCATTTTGCATTGCACTCATATCGTCTCTGTGTGCCTTGCCAGGATAGATATGATTGTGGGGCCCCCTCCCCCAACAACACCTCGCCATAAGAAGTCCACTGAAGGTCCTAGGTTAGGTTAATAGACTGCACCTTTAGACCATTTTATCAGCATTTACTCTCTGTGTACCATAGTCCAAATATTAAAGAAGTTACATGCTGCTTTATCCTTTTGACTGATGGACCCCTTTTGAGCTTAGGCCTTTTGATTTGTCTTGTAAGCTACTTTGGAGGACATATAAAATTGATAAATAAAAGGCATCAATCTCTGGATTTATTTATTTTTTGTTAAAATATAGTATTGATTTGTATATTATCATGGAGAGAAGAAAAACTAAATGGTTAAGTAAAAAATTGTTCACTTATGTTCATAAGTTGATCTTTTGGCCTCACTCAACAGGGGTTTGAAGTGCTAGATGCTTGTTCTCCTAGTGGAGAGACGGATAAAGAGACTCCCCCATAGGATGCAATGGAAATGAAGCATGATCAGCATAGCAAGGGCATGCCAAGTGATGCATTTTGGGCCCAGACTATATATGTCTTTTTGGAGGCTTTGCTCCTACTAAGTCCAATAATGCATGCATCCACACATTTCACTACTAGCCACAACTTTCTAAAAACCATCATTTATGTAGCACTTGAAGACAAATTTCAGTTTTCATTTTATGTGTCAGATTCATCCACAATACTCATCCACATTTTTGCATTTGCCAAAGTTTTTAAGGCTAAGTTTTGGAGCTTTCTGGCTTACATTGATTTTTTCCCACATATTACTTACCCTGTTTTAAACCCTAGAGTTGACCAAATAGTTGGTAAAGGTACCAAAGCTGAAGGCGACGCTGCAGAGGATCAGAGCATGATGGGGCGGCTAGTCAAAGTGGAGAAACAGGTATGAAACTGTCTGTCTGTCGGTATAAAAGCTATATAAAGTTTATAAAAGCAATATTTCACTCTAAGCTTTCCAACATTTTGAACTGAAACTGTAAATGGGGATTGGAAATGAGAATGGCTTATCTACAAACTTTTTAGAAACGGCACCCAACACCAGGGTCTGTGGCTCTTTGCAGCTTTCACAACCACTTTTAAGTAGGAAAAATGTATAAATAATCTTTTTAAATACAGTTATATGATAAAACATGCAGGTTTTTGCATTTTTTCTTTTTAATGCATTCCATTGCACTGCAGAATAATACTGAGTGATAATTTATTTTTTTATCTATTCTTGTCACAAGTTGAAAACCATATAAATTCTTTATTAGCATAAATTTTTCACAAATACCAACATTCCATATAAACAATGAGGGCATCCTTTGCCATTTATCATATTAAACCATAGAAATTGTCATCTTGAAAATTTAACTTGTCGCTTAAAACTAAGTCATTTTCATCAGGGCATGTTTTGCAGTTTCTTTAATTGATAAGTTGTAGATTCCAACAGGTTGTGTAAGATTTGCTTCCCTAAATAAGGCTAATTTTTCTGGACAGAGAACAAAAACGTCTGTTTGTATTGTAAACTTGAGAAGAGATCAGAGGTTCAACACCAATAAGATCTGTCCATCCATTTACTGGTACGGGGTTGCTGGTGCCTATCTCCAGCTGTCTACAGGCGAGGGACGGGGTACACCGTGGACAGGTCGCCAGTCCATCACAGGGCAACACAGAGAGAAACAGGACACACAACCATTCACTCACACCTAAGGAGAATTTTAGAGAAGCCACCTAACATTCATGTGTTTGGACTGTGGGAGGAAGCCTGAGTAAAAATAGAAAAAAGATGTTTTGTATGTGTGAAACATTCAGAAACCTCTTTGAAAAAGGCTTTGAGAGTAACTGTGCTGTTTTCTCAGAATACATTTTTTCAAATTTTTGTTTAATATTACACTTTACACTAAATTTAATTATAGAAAAAACAAAAAAACAAATACAGAAATCTCACCCCTTCCTTCACCCCTTCTAAAAGCAAGTGGAAGAGTCCAACTAGGCCTCCATGTAATTGAGGACATCCTTTGCAGCTGGGGCCTCCTTTCCTTTACTGGCCTCACTAATGACAGCCTCCCAGGAAGTGGCAACTGAAATGAGAAATATATTAATCTACAGTAAACCAAACAAGCACGGAATGACAAAATGAGTGTACCCAAATAGTTAACCAATTCCAAAGTCCAGATTTAAGTCCAATAGAAAGTAATGGTTCAAAGTCGCTCTCAATTCAATTGACTGACCTTATGCTACTTTGTAAAAATGCAGAAAACATTTAAGTATAATACATAGTTATTTAATTTACTACAACCATTTGATAGATGGTGTAAAGCTGGTAGAGATATACTGGCAGCTCTCACTGTAGGAAAAGGCAGTTCTACAAGCATTGTATTTTTACCTAAAGTTATTCTTTTGGCTGTTTAAGTCTCTCTAGTTGTAATTTAAATTTTATAACGTTTCTTTATATCTTCTTGTAGGTAGTCTGCATGGATAGGAAACTTGACTTCCTCGTCAATGTATATGTGCAGCGTATGGGCATCACTCATTCAGAGACAGAGGCTTTTTTCAACTCCAAAGAGCCATATCCAGCACCACCTTACCACAGCCCAGAGAGAACCAAGGAAGAGAGGGACGAAAAGAAGGAGGGGATGGAGGAAAAAAGAGCCAAGACGTGTTCAGCATCAGCAGACTCCTCACACTGTCATGGGTCAATGGAAAAGAAAGATGCTCTGTGTGATCAGTCCATGGCAAGGTCGGTAGCCACTCCATCTGGCAGCAACAGCCGCCCTTCTACTTCTTGGCAGCACCAGCTGCAGCATCCCCTCAGCCAGCCCGCCTGGGGCAGCAGCCTGGCCAACACCCCTTCACCAGCTGGAGCTGCCGGTGACCAGTCGCCCCCTGTCTTTCGCCTTCCGCCTCCCCCTGCTCCAGTGCATGATAGATCTTCCTCAGGCCCGTGCGGAAGCGGCAGGGAGAGCAGCTCGCGGAGCAGAAGGCGCCACAGGAGGCACAGGTGTCAGCATGATGCCACCGCCGTGGAGAGCGACACCTCGCTCTCCATCCCATCTGTTGACCACGAGGAGCTGGAACGCTCCTTCAGTGGTTTCAGCATCTCTCAGGCCAAAGAGGACTTCCTCGGTCCTTCTTTCTTTACAGGCTCAGGAGTAGGTGGAGCAGTGGCTGAAGCTGGAGGGGTACATTCTGTCTGCACAAGGGTCCGACCATTCATAGCTGAAGGGGAGTCAGATACAGACTCTGATCTGTATGCTCCATCACCTCTGTCCTTCACTGGAGAGGCCTCATGTGGAGAGAGGGGCTGGCCAGGACTGAAGTAGGCCAGAGGACTGCTCTGCTACGGCTAACCAGGATGGTGGTAACAGATCAGTGCCAAGATGAGATCATCTGACCTCCTATCCAACCAACGTAGTGTCCACAATGATGATGAATGATGTTTTAGTCAATTCTGAGTGGATTCATCTAAGAGGGTGATCATCATGAAAACGGTTATATTACTATATGCAGTAATTAAATAACCTCATAAAAATAAAAGAGGTCACATTTTCTCACAATTCATGTTTAAAATGAAACATTTCACATGCATTGATTAAAGATAATTGCTTCATACATTTGTAGATCCTGAAAGATTGGGAAAAAAGTCCCTCTACTGAGAGTTCCTTTTATTGAGAGTCAGTACTAACAGAGATTTTTTGAGTTGGCAGTTGGTAGGGATGGTAAAAAAAATTTAACACTTCATCATTGGTCCAGCTGTGTGGATAAAATAGCTGGAGATTATTCAAAAATGACTCAGAAGGTCTCTTCCTGCCTCCCTGTTGCCTGTGCTTCCCTGTAACTTAAAAGGGAACGGGAAAACTTTAAAAGGAAATAACAAACACTGTCAAAGCAGACTCTCCTTTAAATTTGGACCTAATTAATTTTGGTATTATTGTCTCCTTGCACAGCTAAGGAATCCAAAACCACAACTACACTGATTTTTTTTTCATCAGTTCGAAAAAACATTGGAGGAATGGAGACCATTCCTAAGTTTGTTTAGGATTCAGTAGAAAAAGTAATGACTTACAATAAGTATAAAACTTCTGCATTTTGCTATTATTTAACATTATGTAGATTGTGATTTTAAACCACGTAACACTTTTATGTAAAGAACATTTTACATCTAAAAATACTGAGAGTTTGTGTAATGCAAAGTTGTGAAAATTTTATCAGTTGGTTAGCATAATGTCTTGTAAACTTCTATACCTTTGAATGACTTGAGATATTATGATCCCAAAGCCTTTGCTTTGGTAATTGATTAGATTCCTGCAGAGTAAAAAAAAAAAAGCTTGCTTTCAAAGCTGTTAATTAAAAAAAAGCAACAACAAAAAAAGATCAAACTCCCTTTGACGTGATACCAATATTTCCACAAACGTAAAACTGAGAACCTCTTGCATGGCATGTTAAATGGTTGATTTTAGGACTGTGTTAGAAAGGCTATAAATCAAAACAGCAGTGAAAAGTCAGCTCAAGTACTTTGTTTTACTGCTCTGTAGAGACAGACAAAGTGGTGCATAAAACATGAAGTAAAACACAATATGCATGCATGAGTGGTTTCAAGCTAATTTTTTTTAATGCTCCAGAACGGCTTTGCCTCAATTCCAATCATGCAAATGCTGCCTGAGCTTGCAAAATTTTACTAACAAAACTCTTTCGGACAGACTTGAGCACAATTTATGTGCAAAATTAAATATAAGCAAAAGTTAGCGGCTGAATTTGACCCAGCTTGTAGGTTTTTATAGTTTTCACAAAAATTATATTGATAAAGCTGTGTTGCGTAACCAGGAAAGTCTTTGTTTCCTACATGATAATGTTTATCCTGCACTGCATTGATCTTCCATGTAGATTATCTGATGCTAATTCAGTCCTGAAACAAAAGAGGAAATGCAATAAAGAAACGAACAGGGCAACTGTGAACCATCTTTGACCACCCAAAGCCTTATTTTCACACCAGAATCCATTTTATAAGTCCATGAATCAATCATTTAATTTATAATGTTTCATAAAAGAGGGGAAAGTTTATCTTCAGTTTCTGCTTACCTGTGGTTTCAGAATACAAGAGAAACATTTCCAGTTAAATGTTATTTAGTTAGAATATACAGCATTTACCCATTTTTGGCAAGAACTGTTCCTGTTTTGACTAACCAACACCCAACATTTGAACATTGAATATGTAACCCAGAAGTCGTGTTTCATTACTTTAATAACAACCTGGGAGGTTTGGACATCAGAGAACAAATTCACGTTCAACATATGATGATGTAACTGTACCTTCATCTTCTTCAAGAATAAAACTTTGTACATCACTGAACATTTTGAGTTTGAGTTCTGTTGTAACGCTTGAATGAGAAATCCTCCTCATGAGGTAATAGGGGCTAATTTCCACTAGATGGCAGCAAAGATTTTTGTCAATCTTGTATCCTAGGAGCCTTTTTTTTCCTGAAATTATTCAAAAGTTTCCCTTATGTATTTAAAAGTGCACAAATTTAAAAACTTTAACAAAATTCATGTCTAAAAGGAAAAAAATAGAACAATACAGCCAAGGCCAGACACATTTTGTAGATGATTATCTATCTCAAGCTGCTTTTTTTGCAATGAACTTTCTGGAGTTAAATTCCACTTTGTTATTATTTATATGTTTCAATCTAAATATAATAGAACATTGTGAAGACGAAACAACTATTACAGTAAATTCCAAACATATTTTTATCACTTTTGAGTATTTTTCTTTTACTTTTTTTCACATTTTGCTCATTTCAATCAGATAAATAAATTTATTTTAGAAATGTTTTTGAACAACACAAATGTTAAGTATAAGGTAAAAGGAAAATGATGCACTTGACAAAATCCCATGCTTTGACAATCCATTATCCAAATGCATGAAGAGTTTTGCTCAACTGAATACCTGCAATATGCAATAAAATGCTGCTGTTACTTTATGTTATTTAATAAAATAGCTTTCAGACTGTTATTTGTTCTTCTGTGAACACACACCCAACTTGATGGGTATTAGGACAATAATTGAAAAGTGTGAATCAAGCTCAACCTATGGACAAACATTTAACTTTGCACACATAAAATAAATTCACATTCAAAATATAAAAAAATGTTAATAAAATACATTTAATTCGAGTTCAAACACATAACTAATGAAACTCTACACATAGAAGGACATTCAAATGAAAATGGTTGAAATCCATAATCAATAAAATGATGCAATAATATCACAGTTCGGCATGGTTTTGATGGTTTAGAACCGAAGTTGATTTTGAAGTGTTTTTTAATTATTTTTTTAAACAAATGTTAACTCAAAGTGTAAATCCAAGAGGTAAAACATTACTTGGTGAAATTAGGTATTAAATAATATATTCTTAATTGACTGTGATTGTTCCTGAGGGAATAATAAGAGGTAGGGGATCCTGTTAGCCTCTTTACCTGGTTTGGTTTAGAAAGAGAACAGAGCTAATAATAAAAATAATCAAATAATAATAATAATCAAATGTAACGATTGCTATTTAGAAACACATTAATGCTACATTGGTGTTTGAATCCTTGGGTCTGTACTGAACAGCATAGATGGGATGCTAGGCATGTCCTCTGTTGGGTCTCCTGGTTCAACAAGTCTAGATAGCACAAACTTGACAAATGAGCCATTTTGAAAAAGAAGAAATGTAACAAAAGGAGGCTGGCTCTTTGGTTGATACCGAGCTGAATACTTTGAGGCATAATGCTGGGAAACTGAACTGGACACAGCACTCTACATGCCTCCAGAAACTATACTTAATCTGGAAAAGCTGTCTACTGCTGTATAAAATAAAATAATCATTGATTTTTTTTCTTATATAGTTGCCAAACTCACACTCAGCAAAAGGTCTGTTGAACTGTCCCATCTTAGCAGTAATAATTTTGGTAGATTTTTTCTTAAATATAAAAAAGAAAACCTTAATTAAGAATAGCTTATTTGCAGGTTTACTAATGATTCCCAGAAATGACTTATACTATAATGGGAGGCTGATCTTTTCATTATCAAGCACCTCTCTTGTTCAACCAACTATCAGTTTTAGTCCATGAGATAGAAACCCTGTTTATTTTTAAGACTAGGCTCAACACTTTTCTTTTTGATAAAGCTTATAGTTAGATATGCTGGTGAAGATCGTTATAGTTAGAGTGGATCAGGTTATCCTGGTCAAATTCTTGAGTTTTGCTGCTATAGGCTTAGACTGCTGGATTACATAGGGATAACTTTTCATCATTCTGCTTCATTTTATCTCTATTCTCCCTTTGCACAGTATTTTTTAGTTCAAACCCTGACTTTTTGTTCTCGCTGCTTTCTGACATCATGGTAGCTTCATCTGGTATGGTCCTGTTTGGTGATACCATCTGGGAGAGAAATATAATCTGGGCTGCAGCCATCAACAACTTTGGCTATAAATGATAAAGTTGTGCTTTTTTGTGTGTGTGTGTGTTTAGTCCTGTTTCTCTCCTAGACATCTTTACACAACTTTGAATAACTCTATGTGCTCTTTCATCCCTTTGACATACAGTCAGCATCAGAGCTCATCTTCAAAACTATTCTATTCCAAACCATACCCATATATGGAGTTACAGTAGTTTACTGTTACCTTTTCTAACATAGAAAGTGTTTATGGATCATTGTTTCTACTTTGTATGTCTGCTTCTTTATCCTTGAATTTCAAGTTGCCTTTAACAGAACGCAGTAGAAATTGCGTTTCTTAAAAGGGAGGTTTTTAAAAGGGAGTTTTTCCTCCCCATGGTTGCTACAGTACTTGCATGCTCAGTGTGAGGGATTGCTTTACAGTCAGCGACACATTGCAAGTGATATCTACTGTCGCTTCCTGCTCATCCATAAGGAGCAAATCCTGCAAGTCAATGACTGGTTGCAATCAGTTGCTTTTCCTTCAATACAAAACGCTTTACCAATCTGACTGTATGAGATTATTGAATTGTCTCAATAAAGTGTCTTTAGATGATATGTGTTTTGAAATGGTGCTATATGAAGAAACTGTATTAAATTGAATTAAGTGCAAGGTATGGGGGTCTTAGCATTTTAATGGGTCATGTTTTGCTCAACAAGGGACTGGTGCCAGTCACACATACAAAAGACAATGACTGGTATTGAAGCAATAATATCACTAGAATTGAAAATGGACGATGACCATTGGCATCCTTACAGAATAGTTGTAAAGTAAGCAAGTAGCTGTTATGGGAAGGCAACATCTTAGCCACATAGGGTGACAGTGGCTTCAGATGCAGGAGTTTTCATGCAAATGAAGGGCTATTGGTTCAAGCTTGGACACTGGCTTTCAGTGTTCTTGTGTCTTTGGGCAAAACACTTCCCCCAGTTTGCCTACTGATGGTAGCTGGGCAGCTGTGTCTACAGTGTAGACTTAGACTTAAACAACTTTTATTTTCATTTTGTATACACAGTGTATACTGTACAAAACGAAATTTCATTTTTGTGCAGTTTAAATTACATTTCCATGTCTCAAAGTGCAGCAGTGATCAAATGTAAACAGTGTGGGAGAAAAAAACATGGTGCAAAAAAATGCATTGATATGGAAGTTCAGAGCATTAAATATATATGGTGCAATGATGCAGTGTTTTGGTTTGGCGTTGTCAGTGGGATGCAGAGTCTGTGACATGATTTAGTCTGTGACATGATGAGTTTTTTTCAATAGTTGAGCTGTCTGGTGGTGGTGAGGAAGAAGCTGTTTCAGAATCTGCTGGACCTGAATCGGATGCTTCGAATCCTCTTCCCAGAGGGCAGCAGG